TGTTCAGGAGCTCACCAGTGCATTCCGGTTGGAAATGGAACTGGTACGTCTTACAGCTTCCTTTGCATTCAGATATACATGTATGATAATGCAATGTGAGCCTAAATAAGCCACTATTGATGCACAGTATGATTGGACTACATGTATATGTGTGGTGTTTACATTACTTGTATGTAGTTCTGTAGACTTCTGATAGGTGGTGCTATTAGTGCTTGGGACCAATAATATAAGTTGACACTTGCTCAAGTTCCTGTGGAAGCTGTTGACTGTCTGGCCTGTCCGTGTTAAGGAATGTGCAGTCCATTGCTCCTATAACATTTTTATTGTAGATTAATGAATACATAAGCAACAACTCTTAAACAACAATACTACAAGGCCGATCAGTCCTATATTTAGAACTGCAAAATATCATCAATATAACATTTTTTTATAGTATATGAGTCACATTATTGTCATGTATAGATGGTATCGCTTTTGGAATGAAGCACATGTAACCTACAACGGTGAATGAACATCATCATGAAGGCAGATGTAGGAGTTGGACATTATATGTCACTTCAAGATGAGGTCAAGTTTTTCTCTCAATCCCAGTTGCAGAAGACCCCAGTTTTGTGGTGACAGCCTACCGTAGTACGTCTGAGTCTGTCCGTGTGTCCTGGTCTGCTGAGGATGCTGGGACGAACCCACCTGCTCACCCCTCCACTGTGTATGTGGTCTTTGTACAGCAGGGGGATGGAGAGTGGCTCCAGGTCAATCAGGTAAGCTCATTCCAGGGGTCAAGGGGCATCAAAATTACCTCTCCTCCTAGCATTCTTCAGGGAGCTCAGTTTATAATCTGACAAAGTTTATCAAGTAGCAGAGTATCTCAGAATCTAAAAATATCTTCAATTTAAGTCAAGATATTGGGAATGCAGCTGTTCACCTTTATACCTTTAATGGGTAATGTCACCATTCTGCAACTCTGCAACTTCCTTGGGACAGTTACACTAAATTTCATAAAATGAGATATCTAAACCATAGGATCTGCTGCAGTGAAATAGAGAGCTGCTAAGAAGGACATAATTGAACTTGACCACTGTTTAGTCAACTCCTATCCACATACCAAATATAATATCATAGATTCGTTAGCTGACCAAAAAGCCACAAAAACTGCCCAGAACATAACCTTCTTGGAAAGGTAATAATGACAACATCCTGCCTTAGACTATATTTAGGGCAGGAAGCTTTGCATCTATGCCGATGCATCTGATGAGCAGTGCTAACAGTTATGATGCCTGATGCCTGTAGAGGATTGATTGACAGTTGTGAGGACAGTTGTTCCCACCAGGTGAGACACAGGTGTGCAGGGAGGAACAGCGGGGCTCCTGTCACTTGCTTCCACCTGTTGATGGTTTGGGCAGGTAATTAGAGTGTACTGTATGACCAGTTTGCCAGAAATAAGAATGTTTATTATAGGGGTCACATAAGGGTAGCACGACTGAATGCCCATCTTGTATAACATTTCTGTTGTACATGTTTGTAAGATAAGGCTTACAGTGGAAAGATGAGCTTTACACTGCAAAAGGCATGCAAAATAAGGCAGAGTCAGACAACATGCATCTGCTTAGAGCCTCAATCCAAGATCTATTTACCCAGAATTGGCTTGACACAAACTGATCTTGCTATATTGAGTTTTTGCCCTTTAACCCACAGAATGACGGATGTGACATGAGAAGTGGCGCATGAAGAAACTAAGCTTCAGTTGAACTGTCCTCAGCGTTTTGTTGTCAAAAGAGCCACAAAGTATAAAAGCTGACAAAATCGTAATATTGCATGAGCTTTAGGACTGAAGCAAACTCATCACAACTCATTATCCTCACTTATCCCCAGTGAAAGAAGAAGGAAAGACCATGATTTACCAGACAAACTGGATGGCATGGAACTGCCCGATTTTCAGATGACCCGGTAATTACAAGTAATAGGTCTATTTGTGAGGAAGGGATGTCTGAGGAGCAATTATCTTGTCTTGGTTGGATGGAGAGAGGAGGAAAACCAATTTCTAGGCTTAGTTCTGCATGGTGGCTGGAGTGGACCTTTGTGATGTTCTTAGTGGCGAAGCTGGCTGATTAGATGCTCTTTTCAGTGATGATTTACCTGAGAGAGACACAGAACACATTTAAGTGGAATTTCCTCGCACTTTGCAGATGTCCTTGAGCATTGAGAAGCATCTAGCCTGGATGATAAAGGAAGTACAATACACAGTTTCAGCACAGTGGGACTCTTTATAACCAATGCAGAGGATTCCAATGGAAACTTGGATAACATCATTGACCTTCTAATTTTTTCCAAACCTGGTCATGGAGGAACTTGCTAACTTGTTCAAATCCTAATAGTTTTTGAATATCACTTTTTACACAAATAATATTGTTACAAATGTACACTGAGTCTAGCTAAGACTACCAATGATTTACCAAAATATGCCCAAAAGGTGTAATGTCATTAGGAACAGGATAATTAACATACATTGTGGGATAGGTAATGGGACTGTGATCACTGTGATCATTGACATACCCATCATTCCTTAGTCTGACAAGAATCTCACAATTATTGTTTGTGTCTTAGTACAAGTCTTTTAGTGGTCAAATGTCTCAAGTTTGAGCCACATGTCTTTTTTATGACATTCATATTTAAGAAATATACACTGTGCATCATACCAACCTCTCACCAGCATGACTTTAGCAAATAGAAAGATTTACAGCAGTTTAGTGGTTTAATGGCTCCCTTATGAAAGCATGCTCCCACCTGGCTGCTAATTTACAACTGCTAATGAAAGGCCCAAGGATTAAGCTATCTGCTATGTTAACTGAAGTGAAATAGGCCTCGACTGCATGCTGTACTCTTTACTATAAATTATAACGAAGCAAATTCTTGGTCGGCTTCCAGAAGTGCGTTGTGCGGGTACCACAAGGCAGCAAAGCCCCGCTGAGCTTCCCTTGTAACAACTGCTGGTGTGACAGTCCTGAAAATTGCTGGCAATCAGTGGGTTGTGTACTGTCAAATTAGTGGCAAGCTATGCCCAAGGGGAATTTTTGGCTTATTGAGCTACACACCTGCAGAGGTGGCCCCTGCAACTGGGGTGTGTGACCCCATCCCTACCACCCAGGGTTCTGTTGTGCTAGAAGTAATGGCAACTCTTCCTTCACACCACCCCCGGTGCCACAAGCAATCCGCAGCTGAGGCTGTTTCCCACAACCATTCGACAGTCGGACCGACTCAATGTCCTTAATGGCAGCTCTCGCTGAAAGGCAGCTTCCTCCAGTTTGTCAAGTTTGACCGAGAGCTTTCCAAGGCAACAGTTGCAGACAAATCTAATGTGACAAACTTGGATTTACATGACATATTTTTCCGTGTAATACAATAACAGTTTTTTATAGGGTGACCTGAGAGGTTCCAGTTGTTCTCTTTTCAAAAACTCAGCCACTTGCTAGATATGCTTTTGAGCTTCAAATAGCGGCCAGCGAAATTTGAACAGTCTACTTGCAGAAATGATAGAATTGCGATGCCATAGAAGTGATGGGCAACTACAGTTCAGACAAGATAGAAACAAGAAGTAAGTCCTGGTAGATTAGAAACTGACTTAAGCCAAATAGAACCACTCATTATATTTTTGATGGAAAAATATATTTTTTTGTGTGTTGGACTTAGAAACTTGATAAGCAAAACTACATGTATCAAGAACATGGCATACAGACTTAACAGCAGGCATCCAGGTCGTCTTTGACTTTGGTGATCCCTAGTAACTACGGTTCATGATCTATCTTCTCCTAAAATGCCTCCCTCCCTTTCTTTTGGAAACACTCTTCAAGGTGGATACTTTCAGCTAGCTCAAAGCAACACTCCAACCCTTTTGCACTTAACTTGAACTCTTAAGTTACAATTATATCATGGATGTGGAGTGAGATGTTCTTGACTTTCTTGTGTACTAGTAATCACCACACCAATCACTACAACCAACCAACAAACCAATTATTTTCCAGACTACCTCCTCACTTCTCACGGCAAAGGGGCTCCCAACATGCCACAGGTACCACCTGCAGGTCGCAGCAGTGGGCCGGCGGGGTCTCCAGAGGCTCTCTCCAGTGGTCTATCTCGGTAATTATTTTACGTTACAGTCATCCTTGACTCGCTCATCAAAAGTCATTTGTTACAGTATGTGGGTCTCCTTTTCGAGTGTGCAGCTTTGAGGCCCTGCTACAGAGCTCTTGGGAAATGGGTACAAAATAGCACAGGGTAAGTTTTGAAATTCTGTGCCATTTGATCAGGCTTTCATGGGGAAACAATGAGTCGCCACTCATAAGAATATATCTGAAGAGCCCTGAACTCAGTCTGTTGTGCCTGCATCCCTTTGACATTATGATACTTTTCGGGAGCAACATACATTTGGTAATGAGCCACAAGTGGCTCACATGCGACCGAAACGGCATTTTATTTGTGGGCTGTTGTCAGCCAATTATTTTTGGCTTTCAAGTTTATGGAAGTTTTCCCTAACCTCAGAGGCACGGAGCAGGAAGGAAGTCTTAGCTGGGAATCAATATCAGCTGATACTACTTAGATGTAACCAATGATGTTTAAACCATTTGTCTGTGTTGGATTGAAGGGAACAGTCTACATATGGTGTGAAGCTATATAGGAGGATATGGTACATGTAAGCATCAAGTTCACATATGTTGAGTTGTCATCTGGCCAGGCACTTAATTAGTTTTTGGGTGCCTGATGGTTCCTTTTCTGTCATGTACATGTGAACAACTTGACAGTAGCCGTCTGAAAGTGCACCTGCATTTGGAAAACATTTCATCACCGATTGATTAGGGGAAAGGTTGTGACCTTCAAGGCGTGCGGCTCCTTAGAGCAATGTCTTGTGATAATGCTCTCCTCAGTCTCTCTCCATACAACCGTGTTGTCTGTAAATGACCCAAACATCCCCAGTATCCATGTGGAGGTGTGTATGTATGTAACCACCTTTGTTCTCTCACACACACAGACTAGCAGTGTCACAGACCTGACCATTGGAACAGTGATGTTTGATGGATCCCGCTTCCAGGCAGCCGTGACTTGGCAACATCCTGCCTGTGAGTTCCAGTCACTCAACATGTTCAGTGTAATCTCTGAGCAGATGTTGGGGGAGGCTGAAATGCTACATTTTCCTAGCTTCCCACGTTTCTGTGTCAAAGTGCCAGCCTCCCCCCAACAGCCTGTGAATCTGGTGTATTACAGTTTAGTCACTCAATTAATTGAGGGCATTCTTGAGGTAGATCATGTACATGTCCTTCAAAATTCAGTCACGGGTATGGAAAATGCTGTCTTAAATCCTTGTTGGTGGTTGGTTCCATCACAGCCTACTTGGGAATTCTATGGCATAAAAATTGTATGATGAATGTGATCGCACAGTTACACCTAATGGCGTTTATACCATTGGAGAAATTCAGATTGTTCTTCCACTTGATCCTGATCATGACTGTGTTCTGCAGGGTGGGGAGAGGCAGGACAACTTACACACTACAGCATCTCTGCAGACAGGTCTCCCTACTGTCAGGACAAGATATTCCCTTTCAGTTCTGAACGTCACCTCACAGTAAGTGCTTCATGCCATTTCCTTCTGTTGTAGTACAGTTTGTATGGAAGACAAGTGAAATCCCACATGTTGTTAAGATGAGAATCTTTTTACACTTTTACAATCTCTTCAGAATGAGACAAGACAAGTTTATCTGGATGTACCAAAGGGTGGGATTGGCTGCATTATCTACTTCAAGGTCTGATCAAACTGAACAACCTACATTGATTTCTTCTATTTACTTCATTTTGTGTGAGTTCCATCTACATTTTATCTTTGTAGTATCAGTTTTTACATGTCAGAAATGACAACATTGACAGTAGACGAGTATGTCTGTGGACTGCCAAAAAGTTTTTCTCTCTTCCTAAAGTGTTGCTATTGCCATTATCTTTTGTACAGCTTCAACCCTACACTACATGTGGTGCAGCTGAGGGAACCGTAATTGTGTTAGATCTCACAGGTGGGGTTGTGTCCCATGTACTGATGATGCCAAATGTCCTGCTAACTTACAGTCAAATGTTTGTTATCAGTACTCCATCTCCATTGGCAGTGAGTCCAGTCTCGGAATAATGTAGTTTTGTGACATACAATCTAGATGCAATCTGGAACATTTATTTCTTTCATGTACTTTCCTGCATGTTTGGTAACGTTTATCTGTGAGAAAACATGACATGCCTTTTATTCTTTTTACTTACAAATCTGCAGATTGTTCCCAGATTGAGAATTACACCTGCGTACCTGAAAGTGAGTGGTTCTCCTTTACCGTTACATGCTTGTATACAATCTCCTCAAATGATAAGCATTGACTGAAGAATTGCACAAATGATGGAGCCTACACAGGGCACTGACTTGTAATCAGCCTGAGCCTGCCAATATGTAAATCCTGAAATATTCACAGTGATTTATGTTTGTAGCTTTTGCACACAGTAATAAGAAATGGCCTCTGTGTGCCCACTACACATACAAACGTTGAATACAGCAAACATCTCCTTTTCCCCTTCCACAAAATCAAGACTGTTTGAGCTGAAACAAATTTGTCTTCACTACCTCCCCCGCTTCAGCACCAGGCCCAGTACAGAACATCCGTGCCACAGTCATCCCCATGTCTGACGGGATCTCCACAAACCTGACATGGGACAGGCCGAGCCACGGCACAGGCCAGATCTCCAGCTTCCTGGTCAGATGGGGACAGTGTGTCACTGTCAGTTTTCTCAGCTGGATCAACGATACTACTGCAAACTCTACTATAGTACCAGGGGTAAGAAATCATGGATCATACTTACCTGTATTGTTTCGATTATTTGTTTCCTGTGTCATTCTCTGTATGTGATTTTGAAAAGTAATATCAAGAATCATTTTTTCTGCCTTACAATTTCTCAGAACGTACAACACTACCTTTTGAGAGAGCTCAGACCAAGTGGACGCTATGGAGTGCAGGTAATTATCTATCAAATTTGATATACTTTGCTTTTACCATTCCCTTATTGTGTTCTCACATATCATAAGTCTTGCAGTGTCGTATACCATATATGCTACATTTCAGCTTTTTCAAAGAATCTTTTTTATATCAAACAGGTGCTTGCCTTGACCCCTTATTATTCCGAGAATGATGTGAACTTCCACATAGCTCATGTCACCTGCTTCGAAACAGGTAAGCAGTAAGCTTGAACTTGCTTTTGGCCAAGAAATGGTCTGGAGGTAGTTGCTTTTGATTATACTGTGGACATTTTCATCAGGTTGGTAAATCACTGGGTTTTAATGTTCCTTGTACACAACCAATACCAGTCAACAGCCAACATTTTGGTAGTCCTTCTGTTACCTTCCTCAGGGCAGTACTGACTGGTTCTACTCCCCGCTGCTAGATGGCGCTGCAATGAAAAGAATGTGGTCCCAAACGTGACTGAGTCTGTATCCCCCCTCATCATTGTTCACTTCTGATCCATGCAGCCTGCTTCATCCAGAGACTGCATCTGTTGTCCTCTCTGTTATTTTGGACTCACTCCAATTGGTTATGTGCAAAGAACCTTAACTGTTGGTCACCAACATGTAATTTGATTGTAATTTAAATACATTAAGCCATTTGTTTGCTCAATTTAAAAACATTTAAGCCTTTTGCTAGCTCTTTCCTGAATTAGTTTTGAAAAATGATCCCTAAGCTAAGCTTGTATCAATGTATGATACAAATTCTTCATCTACATGTATATTTCCATGTTAGGGGGTCTTCATGTTCATGGTACTACAGAAGTAACCCTATCCAAGATGAGGACAGCCCTACTGGAGAGCACCCTGCCCTATGGTAGGATGGCACTTTCCTTGCCTCGGTTTGTGTAGACTTTAATTAGCAGATTATCATTTTTTCAAGTTAACCAAATGTCTGCTGAGGCATAGACACACTCGTGTTTATAGGAAATATGAATGATGAAGTTCTTGTGAAGGAATTGCATGTGTATGCTTTTTATTGTTTATTCAAAATGTTATATTTGATAGGCCTGCCAGTTGGAGAAACCATCCCTCCCAGTGCCTCCACCAGTCCCCTGCCTCTGTACATCTACATTGTCCCAGCCTGTATAGCTGCCATCCTGCTGGCTGTCTCCTACTGCTACTATCGCCACTACAAGTTCTCCAGCCTGACCAAGACTGTAGATGATGAGGCAATGTGGAAGAAGAACATCTACATCGCAGGTCATCATCAACCTGCAGACAGGTGGGTCGGATGTCTCTCTCTCTCTCAGGCTTATTGTGATGCATTCAACTGAAGAAGTTAAAGGCTACATTTTTGTAGATGAGCAGTAAGTCAAAGGTTTTCAATCCTATGTTTGGAGTCCTGTGGCCACAAGTTAGCAGCACAAAAGTGTCTCTTGCAAATACATGTATGTCTTTGTAAATGCCATAAAAAGGTCTTGTGCATGATGATGTTTGTGACAATACATTAGTACCTTTCTGCAATGATGGGACATTACCTGTGAGACTTCATTAGTTTTGCTCTCATAAAAGGCATGTACATGTATTTTCCCGTTAGTGAGAATAGTTAAGAAAACTTGTGAATGAAGCTATATCAACCATGATCCTCACTTACGCCATGTACCAACTTTAAGTAACAACTATGTACCTTCTTCCTGTGACTGTACATATCATACAACCCCAAGATACTACTGGTATGGTAAAAATTAAAAAACGAATTGAATGATTAAGTGGATAATTGTGATCAATATCCCAAATAGCATGTTATGGGTGAGGACAGATGGCAGTTTTCTGACTTAGCAACCACAGCATGCTTGTGGTTTCTACGCACCTGCCCGTGCCCTGGTATCTGTTACCATTATCACCAGTTTAAAATCCCTGTGCATTTAGAAATGTGTCTTTGGCATGCCTGAAATTTTCCACCATTGTTCCCTTAGGCACCTGACAAAGCTTGCATCCCAGCGATAACCTTATTGACCCCTTAAGCTTTTCTGTTCTTGAAAATGTCTGAAGGTGCTTCTTATAAAATCAACTATATGTGTATGATGCTCAATGTAGATTAACTTGTAGATATAATCACAGCCCTTTGTCCCTCTTTCAAATTCTCCTTTACTTGTACACAACTGCCGGGGTACTATGAGCAACATCATCAGCAACTTTGTAGCTAAGTGTCTGGCTAACAGTGCTCATAAGTGATGTTGAGCTTTACAATGCGGTGTTGATGTCCACATTTTTGTTGAATTGTGCTACCGTTTCATCTGCATTTACAGTTTGGACGTTGTAAAACCGGAGCCATGTGATCGCTGGGAAATCCCCTTCTCGCGCCTCACGCTTTACGAGACACTTGGTCGAGGTGCCTTTGGCAAGGTTGTGAGAGGAGTCCTGATGGGCAGCGTACCAACACACAGGAAGGCCTCCTCCCCCATCGCAACAGAGAAGGCCAAGAGCTTCAATGTGACGGTGGCTGTAAAAATGCTCCATGGTAAAGGACATGTGATAAAAAAACTTCTCATTATAAGAGTTTCTTATATAAGAATTCATCTTTATCTGAAAAGAAAATGTCAGAAGGTTTATGTACTGATTTGCATTGAGAGGTACATTTTTATGTGTTTTGGAAAAGTCTATCTAAACAAGCTATGTATATTCTAAAAAACTGAGCTTAAGCTTAGTGCATACATTTCATTTAAGTCATGTAAAAATGAGTCCCACGGATCACTCCGTACCACCAAATGTTGGTGAATTGCAACACTCTAAATTGTTTCTCATTTCTGAATCTGACATCTCACAATCTTTCCATGCATCTACTTCTAAAGGATCTTTTCTATTATGACCTTTAGTAATAAGTGTTTAGGCCACACAAGGCATATTCCATGGTTCTCATTGAAAAATTCATACACACGACTGCCAGACCCCACAACATGGGATGCCTTGATGAAAATCTAGATTTCAGAACTAGGGTAGAATTTCTCTGTACAATGTGGTGATCAGAATGCTCAGGCTAGATAAATGTGGCTGCCGCATTCTTTTGATTTGCCGATGAAATAGTTGTCTGGCATCCAGGGATGCCAGGCAAATCCAAAATGCAGCAGCCTACCTCAGTACTTCCTCCTGGAATTTGGGACATGATTTTCTGATTTTGTGGCACGTCAGAAGATGCTACCGCAGAACTGTTTGGTTGCTAGGTGATTGCCGAATTAGAAAACACACGTGGAGCTTAACCCCGAAAAGTCGCCGAGCCACATGTTGACATCCTCGGACATGTCTTGCAGAGTTGGCAGGAGAGTGCCAAGTTCAGGCCTTCCTAGAAGAGATCCAGCTGATGAAGAGAGTTGGTTATCATCCCAACGTGGTGAGTCTGCTGGCCTGCTGCACCACCGGGAGTCCTATCTGCCTGGTCGTGGAACACATGCCACAGGGCGACCTCCTCCGCTATTTGCGGAGCAAGCGTTCCCAGGTGAGTCCGCAGCATCCCTGCACCTGTCTTCGGGTCACCAGCCCCACATGATAGCAATTAGCTGCAAATGAATTCTGCTGTTGATGCAAAACAAGCATCCCAGGAATCGAGGGAAGAATCTGCCACCCACCAGCCTGTACTGTCTAGGTATGTTCATGATTGTAGACTTGGCCCCCCGCTCCTGCAGATAGCCCCTCACCAGATGGTGATATGATTGTACAGGCAGAGGTGCAAACACATATCTAAGGTAGGAAAATAGTTTGGGTATATTCATTGACAGGGCTCAAATTACTTTTTTTGGCATATTAAAGATATGCTTGCAATTTAGATTTGCATTTGTACTTTCACCTGACAAACTTTTCATTACCTGCACTCTTCTGCTGGAGTATATTTTCTATATGGATATAAGTGCATTTCAGTCCTTTATTGCAAGAATTTCACAGGTTGTCAGAATGTCAGAACAGTAAATAAAAATCCACATAAACTCATACACCTAATAGAGGGCTGGTGCAGGTTGACATCAGAAATACCTGCACAGCTGTAATTTCTCCTCTACTAACCTGCATGGTGGTAAAAGGTTTGGCTCAAGACAAACTGCCATCCTAATCTGTACTGTCAATTTGACATCATTACAAAAATATGAATGTAGTGACAATGAAACAAACATACCACAAAGAACAGAAGCAGCATTGCTAATCTTAATTTGTTAATTCTACATCAGTATACTACCTACTTATCTTGTTTTACCCGGTAAACTTTCTTTGCTTCCAACGCGTTGGAATGGACATTGTTTTGGGGAAAACATTTCATGAAAAGTCTGCTTTGCATTTACAAAAGATGTTCCCTTTTTGGACCCCACAAGGCTGGTTACAGGAATTGGCACACAGGTACTGACTTGGAGGTCACTATGTTCTGATCAACAAGATAATGAATATCCAAACAGATGCAGGGTCTAAGTCAGAGTTTTTGAGGCTCTTTTTGTGTCTTTCTAGTGGTCTGTGGTGAGGAGAAGAGAGGAAAATCTGGAGCACTAGCGAGACATAAAAAGCGCCCAAAACCTGCTTAAAAACACAGAGCAGGACCCTACATCTGCTTGGAAATTACAAGTCATCATTTACAAATACTGCCAAGAGAAGGAAAGATATTGGTCATGTGTTTACATGCACCTCTGGTTTGACTGAACTCTGCAATGTTCCAGACATTACAAGTAAGGTAGCGATGTGCTACAGTGGTCTTTGATGTTTACAAAATTTACGTCCTTGGACAAGACAAAACAACAAGGATTGAACATATAAATTAAGAAACAAATATTTCATGTCAATACTACATTAATCAGTAGGTCTTACATTAGTAAGTTCCAACTCACAAAAGGCTCCTTTGTACAGTTGACTTGTTTCACTCACAGACTTCCAAAATAAATACAGCTTGAAAAGAAAAGGTTTGTAGTCAGACAAAGCAGTCAACCAAAACATACAGGTTCCTTTGGTTTTGAGTCAAACAGTTAAAATAGTTTAAGGATTATCATGGGATTAACCTAGTTTGTTGTATGTGGAGCTTCAGGCATAAATTTAGGCACCAAACCACTGCATATAAAAGAACCCAACACACCTACCAAGAAGAGTAGGGGTGACACGGTGTGCTTGGTTACAGTATAAAACTGAGCTCTATTGCATATCAGCTGTTGAAACATTACGTTTTGTATCCAGAGTTGTTAAACAATTTGATCTGCACTTGATAGCCTTTCTGTAATCTTCTAAAATCAAATCTCCATCAGAAGTTCACTTATCTCGAGATTAGCCTGGTTGCCATCTTCCATAGTTTAACCATAGTGGATAACCAGCAACAAGGTAGCTAGCTGGCAGTACACTACAGAGGATGGCAATCAGGCTATCTCAAGATATTACAAAGATTAAAATGAAAGTTCATCTGATGAAAGCAAACACGATAGTGTAAAGCTAACTTTAACTTTAACACATAACTTTTTGTGTTGGAACAGACTATATATTGAGCTCTAATTAAATTTACACAAAAATGGCAAATTGACCAAATTGTCAGATGTTCTTGGCTTTGCAACATTTTTTATAAGAAATAGTTGCTTTTTCAAGCTGAATTAGATTTTGACATCCGCTATCAAACCAACAACATTATGGTAAAGAGAAGTCACACATAACCACAGCTGACACTGGAAAGCGAAGTGCGACATCAGACATCAGCTGTTGAGGACTGTCAATTGTCATGTGACTGGCCTTCCCCACACCACACTCAAAGGTGTCGCAAAAACCGCTATTTATTAGATGTGGGTGTTCAAATGACATGCTTTAAAGTGGAACCAGCGGGATTTATGTGGTGGTCTGCTGAAATCGGATGTCATCCAGAAACCGAGACAACAATAATGGCCTCCCCTATGGCAGAAGTGGCATAAAGGACAAGACTCAGGGTTATTATGAGTTTGAATAGTGCACAATGGGGGAAGGTCCCACCCTGTCCGGCAGTGGGAACATGGAATGTGACAGGTCTCATTCAACAACTTATCCTCACAGGGGGGAGTACTAAGGCAGACATAATATTTTATTCACAGTCTACCTACTATCCAGTCCGCCATCCTAGCTCTTGGTCTCACCCAGACCCTTTCCAGAAAATAGTAGAGGTCGGCCAAAAAGGTAAAATGATTTGGCGTGGAGTTTAGCTAACCATGGGACTTCAATTTGCCTCCTGTTGTCGACTGAACTCCCTGGCAAATTATTCTACCTTTTAGGCCAGTTTTGACCATTTTCCTAGCTTGTGGAAGAGTCCATTGGAGACTACTACCTTCCGACCAGTGTTTAGGTGCCATATTTTTTTAAATTCTCTTCCCCTCAATTTCTCCGTATTGTCCAAGATGCGGGCCATTCCAACTTGTCACTTTTATACGCTATCTACTAGTCGAGAGAAAATGAACATTCACCATTTTGGGATATGGCATTGTAAACATTATACATCACCATTTAGCTGTCGGAAGTCGCTGTCACCACCCATTACTACACAATGGCCTGGTCTTCTTCAGCCATTAGTGCGCTGAATTCTTTTTTCGTCTCCTAGTTAGATATAAGATGGCGTTGCCCAGTGAGCCCTACAAGGTCCCGGTAATAAGAAGACAATTACGTCCTCCGCTTTTTTACAAGATCTCTGATGGTGGTTTAGATCCGAGTTGAAGCGCTCCCAAACCCCCTTGTCATTGTGAAGACGGCGCGTTAACCTCTTGGTCTTGGAGCTGATCACAGAAGATTGAATCACAAATGAAAAGTTTGAACCTTTCCATTCAACCTCCCATTAGGTGGAGGCTTGTGCAGTGATCCAAAAATCCCTCCTGCCAGACCTTTGTGTTGTGCTGTGCCGGCATTGGTTCTTGGCTTTAACTGACCAAATTTTTCTCAGCCTAGCAACCAGAGGAACATACAGGAAGTTTAACTACCAGTATGTCTTGTTACGCTTTAATCTCCAGGCGAATGTAAGGTTTGGTTCAGTGTTTAAAGCATGTTTTTGAGACATTTTCTGTGAATTCTGGTAGTCGAAGGATGGAGGCAAAGAAATTAAAACACAGACCACTTAGGAAGTCGCTGTAAATGCTTCAAAAACATTGATGTATCCTACATCTGCTTGGAGATTAGTTGAAATTGAACAACACTTGGGAGTTCTTCTGGGATATGAAATGGAGTTTTCCCCCATATTCGGTCAACTTTACGTGGACAATGTGAAGTTGAACAAAGTGAAGTTGAACAAATTCTGGCGGTCTGCAGCCCTTTTAGTCCAATCACAGTTCCTATTTATTTTCCATGCTTTTCCTCAATAGGCTGAACATATGATATACATGTGTTACCTAACAGGTTCAGGTCCAGACATGGACTTGATGATCTTCTGGACTACCAGTAGTCTGTATCACACTGTAGGTTTCTGAAAAAAAAAGGAAACATTGGCTTAAGGGTTTAAGAAATGAGGGTTTAAGAAATTTGCCGTAGGAGTTGGAGGGACATAGAGTTACCTTTGTTCTCCAAGGCAAGCTTGCCAATTTCTACAACTTTTTTTTTAATTTTACAAGAAGTGGGACCAGGATTTGTTTTGAATTTTAGATACCGAGATAGTTTTGTTTTAAATCCCATGGTCCCTCACCTTGGAATTTACTAACAAATTACTGACATTTGCATATTGAAGAGTAAACATTTAAACAATGTATGATAAGAAATTGATAAGATTTTGATTATCATAGTCTTTTAATAAAAGTTTTATACACATCTTTACATATCTCTGGACTTGAATGTTCCATACTGGTGCCCACCCCAAGTTGACACTACAGATGGAGACTTGCTCAGGGGTAACAGATATAATGCAAACCAAATAAAGCAATTGTTGGGGAATTCCAGTCATTCTGTTTCCCATCTTCCTTGTCATTGTTTATTTTCAGGCAGGCGATGCGGTCTGTGATCTGTTTTTGTTTGCTCCCTATCTGGATGTGCTGTGTCGGTGCAATCAGCAGCTTGCCAGACTCCATCACTGCTAATCCATCGATGTTCGGAAACAATCTTTTTTTTCCTCGTTATCCTGCGGTTGAAGATTCACACTGCATGTTGTCTCTAGGAAGCATCGATTAATCCAAACAGGATGCTTAAGGATGTTGGTGGAGGTTCTTGAGTTTGCATGGCAACAGAGGGGGAGGGGAGCATGGTCAAGGGCTTATCCCTGGCTTCTGTCAGTAGCAAGGAGGTTCCTGTTCATTATCAGCCCCAGTTGGTGTATATCTTAGGAGATTTCTCTGGTGCAGAAGACCAGGAAGTAAGGAAAAGGTCAGGCGCGGCATTCCGCCAGCGGCTGTTGACCTTTCCAGCGCAGAGCATCTTGTCTCAAAGAAACTTTCTCTATAAAGTAAAAGTTCATCTGTGTTGGTAGAATTCATTTCAAAATTAACCTTCCACCTGCTGCCTAATCCTATAACCAATACAATTTTGGAGTGTTAAACTGTAACTTTCAACACGTTGGCAAGTCCAACTTTCCATTGTGTTGGAAGTTACCGTTCAATCCTGCTACGTGACTTTCTTCATTTTTGTATTGAACACTTTTAGAACAAGGCATTTAGAGACCAGTTCATCACCTATACATGTGTACATCATCAGTGCTGCAATTCAAAAGCCAAAATAAGCTTAAGAGTAAAATCCCCCAAATAACAGGCATTGTAGCATTATATTAAACTATTGACCAATCAAACTGCAGAATGGCTCCAATGTGCGGTATTGACACAAGGTAATTTAATTCACTTTGAAGAAGACTGTGTTTGCCTTGGCATGCTTACAAAGCATCTACCACAGAGGGAAGTGACCCAAAAATAGAACCACCTCATCATGAGTGCTGGAAATACAAAGATCATCCACAGGTTGGACCTGTCTTTATAAAGGTACTAAAAGTGTAGCAGTCATCTTCAATCGAGGGTGAGGCATGCCTCCTCTCCCCTCCTACTGTGGAATTAAGTCTCCAGAAACTTAAAGCCATTGACAGTACTTCGTGTGGCTTGTGCTTGGGTGGTAAGGTTGGGGGGACTGACCTGTTCGGCAGATGATTAGAGACCTACCTCTCACAAGAAACATGTGAATTACAAGGTTATCTAAATGGAGATCACTTGTTTTAATTTGATCATTGTGTAGCAAGTCTGACAGCAATGGGTCAACTTCAGTAACACATGACATGGCCACCAGGTGTAACCAACCTAACTACGTCTGGTGCAAATTTTCACAGGTTCCTAACCTTTATCTGGCATTGATGTGGTTTATAGAAATGTCAGCCAAACTGGGATATTGCTGCCAGCCATCACAAGAAAGGGTACCGCGACAGCCCACTGCTTATTACAGCCTTGGACTGTGTACTTAAATGAAACATCCACACTTGTACCTGAACCTGAATAATTGAACAAAGTAATGTGGTCTTCAGCAATAACAAAAGCAGTCAACAGATTGTTTATTTGGCCTCAAGGTGGTAGGTATCTCATGCAAAGAACCTAGTGTACTCAAACCAAATATGGTGCTCATTTCAACACCCAAATACTATTTTTGTCTTTTTCTGGTGCTATATCTTCATCTTTGCCATAGGAAATACACGTACAATGTACATGGTACCATACAGGGCATAGGCGTTTGGTATTTTGAACCCGCATCAAAAAGATTTTTGCATTATCGTACCAGCACCTCGCGATCGGTACAAGGCCCTATCAAATCCTGTAAACTAGAAACCTAGAGTTGGAAGGTAGCCCCTGGTGCCGGGTACCATACATCAATGCAATCATGTTTACGAGCAGGTGGTTGCATAAATTTGTATTGGAATAGAAGAATTCCATTTTTGGATGTGTATTGGAGGCAAGGATAATCATCCCAGAGCAGCATTTCAGTTTATGGGTGTGTGCTGTGATAGCTTGATGCCATGTTTAAGTTGTGGCTGCTATATTTTGAGACACGACAACTTGAGCTCTGACCTCGTTTTTAACATCAAAGGCAGTACTTGAGTCATTTGATTCAATCAGTTTGGGGCAGGGTCGTTACTGTACATCTTAAAATGTTCATGGTGGTTTTCGTTTTTACGGTTTTTGTGTTGACTTCTCATCAGTGAAATCATGACAATGCAAATTATGTTACAGGATTGTTTATATCGGGACTTTAAAACACTGCAAAAACCTCCTTTCCCTTCCCACTGCGAAATCATTAAGTCCCCGTGAAAATAACTGAATTAACAGTAGTTCGCCTGCCTGTACCATCAGTAGTTTTTGACACAATGATTCATTTGGCACAATAATAAATGTCAGGCTACTGTTTCTGTTTAGATGTGTAAGCAAAGCCAGGACTCACATGTTTCAAAGTGGGTTATCACAATTACTGATATGGTTGGTTTCCCCATAGATTGACATTTACTATGATTTATTAGTCAAAATGCCATAAGATAAAGTCAGTGCTACTGTTTATTGTTACAAAATGTACTCTCATTGATGGTTAATTATTACCATAGTATGGTGTAATTGTTTTAGCAAATCTGCCATATATTTGCTTAAATGCAACCAATTTGCTTTCTAATGCTTCAAATCTGCCAAGTTGCTTATCTTTAAATTAAATAACAACACATTTACTGGGTATGTGTCAGGCAGTGTTGTGGCTAAACTGACATGTTAGGTAGCTGTGTTCTCTCAGCTGGGCTGGTACTACATGTATCACTGACCTGCCATCACCAGTATTAGTGGCATTGGCCTCAGTGTCAGAAGTGTAACTACAGGGCTTAAACTACCCAACTGCATCCAGCAATTCTGCAATAATTATTATTGTAAATCATACATTACTTTATATGCACTTTAAAATTCTTATTTAAGTGGTAGCCAATAGGTAAGCCTGGATAGGTACGTAGTTTGATCAAACTTTGATGAAATTATGTGTGAATCATATTGTGTCCTTAATCAAGAGTTATACTGTTGGTATAAACTATAATATTTGGTATTAATAGAGTTATAATGAAGGCTGTAACAGGGCAAGAACAATGGGTACAATTTATCCAAATTGCTGGTAAAACTTTCAACTTTGCGGGTAACTGAAAATAGCTATTTTGAGCCCTGAACTTAAGGTATGGGGACATTTCAATATTGTAACTGCAGGAGCATTTTGGTTGGAAACTTTGGCAGAGAAGAACTCAAGAAGGGACCGCCGGATTGTCATGAGTGTGTAGGAGATGCCAATTATGCAAGTTGGAACCTAAGGCCACACCAATTTAATTTGTTGGTTCTCGGATTTTTTCAGAAAAAATATGAAGCGACAGGGCGAAAAAAAATAAAAATAAAAACAGGTCTAGGCATCCTATTATAGCCCCAAATGCTACAATATGAGCCATGAAGTCAACAAAAAAGGCTGGGTTAAAATTTAAAGTATAAATTTAGAACTTTTAATCAAACCACTGCATTGATAGATGGAAAAAAACTGTAACAACTAGGAAGAAAGGAATTTCCTCAACTGTTGGTGGCAAAATATGAGCATTTTTGAGTTGATTCAGAACCAGAATTCTTTTTTTTTTTTTTGCAAATCAAGAAAAAAATGAAGAGGCGAATCCGAGAACCAACAAATTAAATTGGTGTGGCCTAATTTGAATAATGAACTGTGGCCCAATTTACACAGGGCGAAAATATATCTGTCCTGTGACACGCGGTGCACGGCGAGTTAAATGTCCTAGGACAGATTTTTTTGGCCAAGTGTAAATTGGGCCTGTACTAGTAGAAATCAATCCAGTCCGACTCTACTAGAAGTCAACTCTAATGTAAACAGTGATTTACACTGCTGTGCATGGTTAGTTCATTGGTATTACAGTACACAGATAGAAGCAATGACAGGATAGGCCACCACAAGTATGACAGTGCAACAGTTCTGTCCTAATCACCTGTCATTATCCTCTGCCTGCCTACAGGAACTGCATACATCATGCCACATGTGTAATTATTGATGTTTCCTACCCTCACATTACCAGAGGAATAATGGCATCGTCACCACACACCCTCATGATTACATTACCGCATTGTATCCACTGAAGTAATCAAAGTAGCATGTCTTGTTTGTCAGCAGTTGTGCAGCTGGCATTCTTGAACGGCCCGTGTTGTTTCTCACTTCACTTGCAGCTTGTTTGGGATGTGTTTACTTCACCCAGGGCCAGCCAAACTATCCCAGCAATGATTTAATTGCTGTAGGCACTGTAGATGTTAACTCGTGCCGTGGTGTCTTCCCAGAAAGCTTTCACGGGTGCCAGGATTGGGGCAGCATGCTAGGCAGACAGCGGGATAAAGTACACTTAGGCTACAGAAGATCATTATTTACATCTACCAAGGCTGTAAAAGAACCCAACACACTTACCAAAGGGTGCCCTGCTTGACTACCACCACTAGATAGTAGAAAAGGCATTAAGAAAATAAAGGAGCCTCAATGAATTTTGAGAGGGAAAGAGCTGTAAAAGAAGCAAGAAAGGATGGTAATATAGTCCCCCTGCTTGAAACTGCAGGGGTAACGATGTATGCTTCAATAACAGGCCATACTATCATAGGCTAAATGGGAGAAGGAACCCTTCCTGCCCCAGCTATCAAGGAAACACAAAAATGATTGTGCCCTACATGAACCTGATATGAAGTATGCACAGGTGCAGGACAAACCAGAATAGCACATGAAAGGCGCCCTCTGTTCCCCATTACTGCCCAGAAAGGATGTTGTCCACGCTGAAATGGGTAGTTGGGTTACTTCAGCCCTGTTTGGCAGACCTTACCAAATCAGCATGCAAATGTCCCAGTTGTAACAACACTTCTCCGGATTTGGAGTGATACTTGAGAAAAATGTTTCTCCTTGAGTTTCTCAGTGGGAAGCAGCCCCCTCCCACCACCGGGGCCATTCTGTGCTCACCCCAGGGTACCAAAGCATCAGAAAACCCAAACAGAATGCCTCACCTCTGCAGTTTGCTCTTTTTCTGGGTCAGTTAGCCTGTTATTGGAGCCAGAAACGGGACATCACAGGGGGGCAGAGTTGGCAACAGCTGCACCTGCACAGGATTGGTACCTTGGTAACAGACACATGAGATGGCCTGAGTGGCAGCTTTCAGTCATCAGACTGCCACCTCCAGGTAAAGCCCTGCTACCTGCCACACCTCGCCAACCATGGCACCACCTGTACAGGAAGTAATCCAGCGAATTATGAACTGATGTCACACGGTGTTGGACACAGTACACACCGATGAAGTTTCCACAAGGCCTATAAACAACAGAAGTGCCTAGTTCTGAACTGGACTGAAGGCAACTTGATAGAACGCAAGGATGCAGAAGTGTGCGTTGTTCCACTGCTAATCCTTGGTAGAGTAAGTAGTGACTCCAACAGTTGTGGCCTGGTCTTAATAGAGCTTTATAGCAAAAAGAGTATTTGTTTAGGGCACTTCAATAAAGAATCAGGCCCTTAAACGTGTATATTTTTCATCTGCACAGTTAAAGGGGGATGGAGACAAACACCTTCCAATTGTACTTTTTATCCTTTGATTATACCCCCTCCCAATGCACTCACACACACACACACATCCAGTCTTCCATACTAGAAAAGTATGGAAACCAAGAAACACCATTGGCGAGGCCTAAGGGTAACAGTTTACTCAATGGATTAGTAATGAGACATCTTGTTTTCTCCTTTAATCTCCCTCCAGCTTGGTGCAGCTTCCTGAGAAATTCCCCCGAACTTCTCAACCACAGAGCAAGATTAACTAACGATAACAAAATTACCTGTCAGCACCAAACTACAATAAATATTACTTCTCCATGTCCTTTAAGAAACACATGCCCCCTTCTTACATCCTCCACAGTCCAACATCCTGGAAATGTCAGGGGTAAATCCAATCCAGCTAGAGCAAACTCTAGGACTTAGAATGGGGTTTATGGAAAACACTGGGCTGCCTACTAGGCCATGCTACCAGGCCAGACTGCCTGGACCCAAAAGGCATTCATGGGGGTTTTGCACTTTGCTTTGGAATTTCTTTGAAGAAAAACTGTCTTTGGCAGTGCAAGCTGACTGCTAGTGTGGGTGGGCTGGATGGAACAGAAGATGTTTGTGTGTGCGTGTGTGTGTGTGTGTGTGTGTGTGTTTGTGTGTGTGTGTGTGTGTGTGTGTTGTGTGTGTGTGTGGGGGGGGGGGTGTTTAAGAGGAGGCAGCTGGGAGCACTCAACTACAACTGGAATACAATCCAAATGTAAATTTAGATTGAGGGGAGGTGAAAGGGAAAGAGGAAATAATTAGGACAGGACAGGCAATTATGGGACCATTGTTTGCTTTTTAAAGAGACATAAACTTTAAGATGTTTTCTGAAGTATGATTTTTGGTTCACTGCTTTTCTCTGTCAGCTTTTTATGCAATTTCTTTCCAGCTAGTGTCAATTTCAGATGCCAAACCAAATTGTTTGCATGAGTGTCACACAAACCACACTATGCATTGTAAAAAAAGAAAAAAAAAACTACATGTGTGGCCTACATGATTAAAAAAAATGATATTTAGCGGAAGTGAAGGTTCTGCCTTGTTGATCACACCTGGCTCATTAAAGATGCACAGGGGAGTCCCGTGTAAAATTAGACATTAGTGTGTGTGGTGAAGTAGCTGCCAGCTATAGTTTTGTACACACGGTGAGGTACAGATTTTGACAGTGAAGCCATGTAGTACTAGTGACTTGTGTAGACAGCTGTATTTACCCAGGAAGAGGACGGATGTATCGTTTCTTCCACATAATTGGTTTCAACTCAGGCAAAAATCACAAGAGGACTCCTCTTACCAAAACTTCTTCAAACGCTCCACTGGGAACTGCAGGTTCCCATGAGGATCAGAATACCATCATCAGAGCTCGGGCTCTCCTAGAGCTGTATACATATAAACGTAACATCAGATACAGAGGTTTAGGTACAGGTTCAGAGTTAAAATCATCATTATGTTCTGTCAGACATACAAGATGAATGGTTGTACTTGAACAATTGGATAAAGTAACCTTTGGTCTTCAGTGATAACAGAAACAGTTAACAATTTATATTTGGGCTCTTCGTATTTCATGCAAAGAGACGACTCTCGCAAGAGGATCTCAAAGAAAAGATGGTATTGATTTTAATGCCCACAATTTTTTTTCCAGTAGTAAATAGTCAATTATGTTTCCTCACTGTTGCTCTCCTTCTCACCTTTAGTGTCAATATTAAACTTTTGTTGTAATTTGCATTTCCATCATTTTGAAAGGCCAGATTCTTGCCAAACACATTTCCTGTCCCTGTTGTTTCAGAAAAATCCTGTCTGTGGTCACAGTTCAAGTTTTGCTCCTACCTATTATTTATTTTTCATTGTAACCTTTAACATTATACAGTTAATTAAGAAAAATTGTATTCCCACAGTAGCTTCCACTCTGCCATTAGCCCTGCTGATATCTAATAGTATGTACTACAGTTGTGTAAGTGGGAGATACTTGTTCACGGTGACTTAACTTGAACAGTCAACCTCTTTGGGTCTTTGCTTAGGATATGTTTTCATGGTTGCACAAACTGAATAGGTAGGACCATTTGACCTGCAACAGCAGATGGAATTGGAAGGTTCGCCTGGTTCAAAGTGATTCTCTCTGTCCATTTTTAGTCATTTTTACAGCAAAAATCTGGGCAAAAGCACTGAATAACTAAGTTTCTTAGTTGTGTGTTTGTGTTTTAGTTGGGTAGGCACAATGCCATGTTGTGAGCCAATGGTTGCACTAACAACTTGTTAAAGGCTCAAGCAAAGTGGGTCAAAAGCTGTACCATGTAACATTAACCCGTAGTGCATGTATTAACATCATGTTTTTATGTTTAGCTGACTCCTATTGCACATAGGATGACCAATGAACTCAGGCACTGCCACAATGGAAACAGTACATCAAGACTGCAAATAAACATAAAGAGTAAACAAAGCAATTCCCAGAGATGGAGAGGTCAGGGGTCAAACTACTTTTAAATTACCACTGCAGGTGCACTGGCTCAGGTTTCTCTTTTTTGCCTCAGTTTTATTTTGCTGTTAAGTGGGATATATCAATCTCCTATCTGTTGATAGGTGTGAACTAAGGACCTTTCCCTATTGTACTTGCTGTATACACACACCAGGGAATACAGTATACCAATCAGGTAGGCATACTTCAGAAACCCATAGCTTCAGAAGCTGCCTGGTAATATTCCTGACCGACAGTGACCCCTCCAACAACTCTGACCATTCTCGGCATGTACATGTATGCCTCCATGTCAAAAAAGTCTGGAGGTCACTTGTTCTTGTAAGCAGATGTTGACAGTAAATAAAGTTGTGCGTTTCCCTCTGTTGAAGCTTGTTTCTATCAACGGTTGGGTACTTCACCTCGGCTAGTTGTGTGTGTGGTCCTCTCTCACAGCGGTTTCTTGTGCAGGTTGTTTCTTTCGCTCTGCGGTCTCGGGTTGCACGGAAGTTATGGTTTGCGTAGTGGCACAAAGGGCTTGCACGTGTACATGAAACCAAAGGCAGCACACAGCTGAGGGCCGCTCACAATATCTGTGAAGAGAAGTAAACAAGGTTTGACCCATTCCCCTGAACCTCCCTTTTCTTCCCTAACCCCTTGTGACAGTCCACATCCTGCATCAACATAACACCGGCTGCCACCATCATCCACCTGCTGCTCTCATAACATTGATTCAATGAGGCAAGCTGCCCCCTATGAGGGAGCAGGACCTCACAGGCAAAATGACCTGACATACTATGTACTTGGAAGAAATCTGAGCACTGCAATAATACCAGACCAAGAACGACACTCATTTGTCTGATTCTCATATGATTGAATCTTTCCTTGTCCCAAAAGAAATTCGGACTGAGGGTACTGCAAACACGTCACAAATTAGTCAATCCAAAAATGAACGTATCGCTGACTGCCCATTAACTACATGTATGCTACAATAATAAGGCACAGGTCATGGTGATCACATACATGTACTTCCATTGAAATATTTATTCAGTACAAGCAATGTATAAAATTCTGGGTTGTACAGGCTATCATTGCTTTGTGGTATCTTCAGACATTTAAAAGGCTAATGTTTGGAAAGGCAGATTGTATGTTCCAAGAAGAAATACTGTAGTTAGGAAATACAATAGTTCTTTACTCCAGACATTTCAACAACATTATAGCTGAGGTAGTTCCTACCTGTTATGTGTGTATGATGTAGCTGACGGCATGTGTTCCTGCTGTAATCCAGGTCTATGCAGGCAGTGGGGATGAACTTCTCGGAGGGGAGGGCAGTCTCACCCAGATGAACTTACTGTCCTTTGCTAGACAGATAGCAGTGGGAATGGTAAGGCAGACTTTTATCCTTGCAAGAATGGAGACTGCTAGAATTTAGAAAGACATAGAAAAAAGTGTAAAAAAAGCATGTATATCTGCTTGGAGATTGCTTGCGCTTTTTTCTCCATTGTTTGATTTGTTTTGTGTTGTTTTGTTTTCTTTTGTTGCTTGGTTGGGAACAGATTTTCAATAGTGCTGTATTCATTACAGTGGAGCTCAATGTTTCTCCAAGTAAATGTGACACAATATTGAAGTGAACATTATCCTGGGTTGATGATGATCAGGAGAAATGTAAATGAAATTAATTTTTTTATGCACAGGAATTTCTGTGGCAGAAAGGGTTTGTGCATCGCGACCTGGCAGCCCGAAACGTCCTTGTAGGAGACGATGGGGTTGTAAAGATTGGAGACTTTGGACTGACTCGCTACGTTTACACGGACAAGATCTACGTCAGCAAGAGAGGCGGCAAACTGCCAATCAAGTGGATGTCACCAGAGGCCATCTTTGACCAGACTTTTACGGCACAGAGTGACATGTGAGTCCCTTACCTGAGACATGTGATGACAGATGTTCTAAGAATGGGACATTGTGCCCACTTGATTATGGTATTATATTTGTACAGCTTGTGTCAACAAGACTGGGACCCACACTGAGAGCTCCCTGCCTTGTACTGCAAGTTGTAGCAACCAGGAGGTAGAGTAGACCACGGCCATTCCTAATCCCTCCATACTGGTGGCAATATCACTGGTGACCCACTCCAGAAGTGAGGTTTTGTTTGTGAGATTTGCTTGTATTCTGTGAGAAGTTGATGCCTGCTATTTAACATTCAACTTGTTGAAAATGAGGCCTTAGCCTCAGGACACTCGAGCATTCTAATCTGACGTGTTCGTTTAGCTGAAGGGTTTCAGGTTGTGACTGATAACTGTTGAAAAGAAACAGTATGTTGACAGCATAAATTGATAAGTAGTTAAACCCTTTTTTACTCCAATTGTAAGAGCCTTACTGGGCCAAAAGGCTCCCGGGATCTTTGTCCACACTTAATCACAGTATGTAAATATTTTCTGTTGCAATTAGGAGGTTTGTACAGGAAGAGCCCAGCGGTGTGACCCACAGTCGCTCCAAAGTAAATGTCTTGAAGTGGATGACAAATTGGTGGTCAAGTCACTTTGTACAAAGCACTCACCATTAAAAACCCGAAACCATTTTCGTAGCTGTCTGGAATGATGGGAAAGTAAATGCTTTTTGCCAGAGGAGAAGGGGTTTGTGTACAGGAAGAAACAAAGTGCTCTTGATAAAACAAAGTCCTCAGTCAAACTTCAACAGAAGTGTCTTGTCGTGTAGAGACATGGAGTCCTCCATAATGGCACCGATCCCTCCGGCAGCTTGGTCACCTGCTCACGCTGTTTGCCAAGGTACACAAAGTGATGCTCACAAATGTCTGCTAATGATTGGCCCTTTGACATCTCAGGCTGATCAAGTAGTTTACTGTTGCAAGGTGATACTTGTTTGTTATTGCAACTTTTCAACAAGGAAGGGCTGAAAAGGTAACGTGGGCCTCTGTCTGCAAGTGTGCAAACAACCCTCCAAAGAGGGGAAGCAAAAGCCTCTAAACCATTTTCCCTGATATACCACGCTTTCCGAAACGGATACTCTTCCTCGACAATACAAGCCGCACAATGGGCGATTCTTTGTCGCCGGTCCTCAATGGCACGCTTACCTTACATGCGACAACAGTGACTTTATTCATCACCTCTTGCTGTGGAAGCAGGTGAACCTCTACACCAACAAAGAGCCGCTCAATGGCCAATTAGTAAGAAAATCTCCAAACCTCCTCCCCTGACCTGTTCTGCCAATATGTGTCCCTGATACCTCTTGAAAGCCTGTTTAGCAGGCTGTAAGACCTTGAACATTGTCAATACTTGCCTCTAGTGTGGAATATTTTGTTCTGTAGAGCCCCATAATCCAGTCATCGATAGGAGGCTGTTTCCAGGTTTTTCTATAGAGTTACTTGATTCCAAACAGGTGGGCCACGCTCTTTTGAATCAGGGCTGCTCCCACTGTACGTCCACACAATGTGTACACACGACACACAGGAGGCTGCACCCAACTTTTGTGTGAAGGTTTACTATATCAGCATTTCAAACAATCACTTCATACATGTTTTGTTCTTCTTATGTTTTCATCAGCTGGTCGTTTGGAGTGGTTCTTTGGGAGCTGTCGACCCTGGGGGGCTGCCCCTACCCCGGCATTCAGAACAGGGACATGCTAGCTCTGCTGCAGAGGGGACACAGGATGGAGCAGCCAGAAAACTGCCCTGATGAGATGTAAGCACATCATTGATAGTGACAATTACATTGTTTATCTTTATCCATACACGGGCAAAATAGCCAGGATTGCACAAAACCAACAATAAATCAATAGGGCTGGTAAGAAAAACATTCAAAACACAGCACCACCCTCAAATAGTACTCAGATGATTGGATTAATTGGGTCTAATGGTATTGATGCCTAACAATGGAGCAGCTGATTTTGTGAAGATGTGCCAAGGAACAAAACAAATGCAAAAATCTCACGGTGATAAAGAAATCATTATCACAACAGAACAGAAGAGTCATCAACATTAGCATAACTGCTTCTGGTCTCTCAGGGTTACCAACAGGTGTGGCCCTCCTAATTAATGGTAATTACACCTGGAACAGGTTCCCTTGGTAGTCTCTACCAGACTCCTTCAGTTACTATAAAAGAAATTAGCCAAATAAAGCAGATACATATTGCCAACATGTAATTCTGTGGCCGCCTAGCTCCTCTGACAAATTATTCTCTTTATTTGGCCATTTCGTACTATTTTCTAAACAGCCCAAGGAGTCTGGTAGAGACTATCCCCTTGGCAACAAGTTACTAAAAGTGGGTCCAAACTTTTCCCCAATTCCCCGCCGGGACCCTAGAGGCACTGTGGCTCATCTCTTGCTCATCATTCATCACTCAGGTACTTCTAAATGGTTGGCATACCTGGGGTGAAAGACATTAAGGGTTGGCTCTGTTACAGCACACTCCTGGCATCCACCCCATTCAAAAATTGAAGAAATTATCCTTCACAGTATTGCGACAATGCCAGTCTTCGCACCTGTAGTGTTGAATGTGGTCAGGTTGAAGGTTGGTGCTGTGACACGCCTGAACTGCAACAAAAACACGCCGACAATGGCAATGGCTGCGGTTAGTACACACAACTTTCACACTCAACTGCAGGCACAGAAAGGTAACCCAGATCAAAGGTTCGCAGAGTAAAAGGCAGAAATACCTCCCCTGCCATACCGTGAGCTTCAACTTCCTGACCGCACCCAGCTGGAACATGTACGCACCACGTTTGGTCTGTTTCGGCGATGCATGATGGATGATGGCGAAATCGCTCCTTGCAATGCGAGCACTTAACATGGACACCACGGAGGTGTTGGATGATCCTGCGCAGTTCCCCCCCATTCCTTCTCAGTAACACTACACTCACCGTGTTTATAACCTGATCAAAAACAGTTCCAAGCACCCAAGGATTCTTGAATTTTTGCAGATAAACTACCATAGTAGCCACACACCCTGGTCAGAGTAGCAAATTGTCACGAGATACCCCAGAACCAGGCTTTCTAATCTCCTAGTCATCAACAGAGTACAGGATAGGTGAAGGCAGTCCTCAACATGTAACAGAAAACTCATGCTGCCATAGCCATTCTGTAATATATATATATTTACTACAAGGAAAAGTTATTTTGAAGTTCCTTGATCATGGTCTGTTTCTAAGGTCACTGCGTGGACAGAATGGGGCAGGAATGTGTGTTTTGACAGTCTGATTTCTTTCAGGTACCAGTTGATGCTTACCTGCTGGCACGAGCGTCCAGAAGATCGCCCCTCTTTTACTGACATCCGCAACTTCTTGGAGGACCTCATGGAGAAAGACACCCCCTACCTGGACCTCCGAGTGGACCGGTCCAAGGACTACTACAAGGCGGTGGACAGCAGTGAAGATGACAGTGTGGAAGTTGTTGAACCCGGCACTTCTTGTCTCGTAGCTCCCTCAGCTGCCGGGCAATCTGCAACTTTGCCACCATCTTCTCTTGAGTCTGCTGGGACCATGTCAGCCAACCAATGGCCAGCCATGGTACCTTCTGAGTGGAGCCCTCCAAAAGGCATAACCTTACCCAGAACATCTAAGGAGTCACTCTCCAGCCAACCTTCGTCCCACCCTGACCTTACAGACAGCAACAGTTCCCATGTTTGAAACTGACTGTATGTAAAAGGCTACAGAGAGTACAACTCTGACAGTAGATTCTGATTCTCTGCAAATGCTGACTGAGATATGTCCAAACTTTCGGTAACACAGTTGAGCATTTACTGCATTTGGGTACTACCATTTGGGTAGTCATACTAGTAGTAGAAATATCTACTAGTATACATTGTATAGATCTAGTACAATTTGGCTGGCAACTGTCTAACTCAATTGACAGTTTGTCTGGTAAATTATTTGGCCTAATTCTACTATTCTTTCAGCAAGTACACACACACACTACACGCAAACATACATGTACACACAGACCTCTGAACACAAGCATGCACACACTGCACACACACTTCACCTCAGCCTCCTAGATGGGCTGACCAATAAACTGACCATTGTTTATGTACATTTTGTGAAGAACAGTTTATTAGTGGGTTCATAATGACTGCTGTAGCTACACATACATTTGAGACGAAATAAGAATGTATAATACAAATCTATTCCCTGGAATAAGTTGCCCCTCTTATAGCACTGTAGCCTCTACCAGACTTGCTGGGTTGCTGGAATGGTACAATGGAATGCCATGAGTTAGCCAGCTAAGGGATTATCCCTTAGCTGGCTAACTCATGGCATTCTCCATTGTACCGATTACACATTGGCAGCAACCCTAGTAGTCTAATAGAGACTAGCTAGGCCAACAGTAGTGGCCATATGGACTTTGGGTCCCTACATGGGAGATGAATATGAAGAGAGGATGGTCATGGTTTATGCATGTTTGACAACTGTGAAGCTAACTGTTATGGTTGGTCATGCATGAAGTCTCCACATGAAAAGTTGTTCCTGAGTGAATGGAAACACAAATCCATTCTGTTTGTTTGGGGATTGAACTGTGTGGTACGGGAATGTTAATTTTGATGGGAACACAAAAGACATGGAAGAAAGTGTTCCGGATTATTGATGTATGTTACATTGAGCACTTACATTTAATCCTGCAAAGAATGTCTATGTGCTGTAAATGAGCCGTTCAGGAATAATAGGTAGAATGGCAGATACATGTATTATTATAATGTTTGTATGATTATTGGTTTAGTCCCTCAAATACAGTTAATTAACTTATTTTTAGAACTCAATAGGTATTTTATGCAGTAAGAATGTAAGAACATTGATCTTGTTATAAACATTTTTGTTATTCAAAAGAAACACTAGTATGTAGTTATTGAATCTGTTAACAAGACTGACAAGTCTAATTAGCCTTCCTTCAACATGTTTTATTTTTCTTTGCTAACACCTGTTGTCACCACATCATTAACAAGGACATGTGATTTTCTCAGTGTGACAGGGAAAGTCATTTTACCCGGGTAGAAAAATCCAGGAGAATTTGTACCAGTTTTAGAAATGTCCAAAATTTAACTTCACTAAAGATATCTGGCTCTATTATCAAACCCTCTATTGGGTTGCTGACAAGATAGTAAAAATTGGCAGAGAATCATTTTGCAAGGGAGACCATTAGTCAGAAATTGACTGTTTCTGGTGAATTATTTGGCTATTTGGATCATTTCTTCTAATTTTCAGCGAGCGAAGAAGTCTGGTAGAGACTATGGCCTGCCCCACTG